TTGAAGAGGAATGGACGAATGTCAAGAAGTGCCTAACAGTGGCACTAGAAGAAAAGGTTGGTAGGATGAAAAGGATACCAAGGAAGGCATGGATTACACAGGCTATGCTCGATAAGATGGATGAGAGGAGGAGATGGAAGAATATCAACAGTGAAGAGGGAAGACAGAAATACCGAAGACTGAACAACGAACTGAGAAGAGAAACAGACAAGGCGAGAGAAGATTACATCAACGAAGTATGTGATGAGATAATGACACTCCAGAGAATTGGCACATATGATTTGATGTATGCAAAGGCGAAAGAATGAACTGATAAGATTCAGCGTGATAGTGCATATGAAGTATAGGTAACCATGAAACTTTGGGCAGCTGAAAATCAGGTAGGATGTTCTGGAGTTTCACGACGAGGAACTTCCCACTTGCAATACAGTCTCGCCACAGCAAAAACGAGTTGTCAAAGTTTTCTCAACATCCACCGCCTAGTTCTGGCTTCTTCACGGGGTTCAGTACGCAGCTACAAGAACAAACTTTTATTTCAGAAGTGTGACCAGAATGTCACACAAGCAGTCGATGTTTCTAGCAGGGTCTGTGCTTTGTGTTTCTATTTTAAACAATTAAGTGTTATTTGAACAAAGTGAGAGCAGTTAAGCGCATAATGTACGAACATATCCGTCAGTCCGTCCGTCCAAGTGCGTTTCATCTCCAAAACTAGTAAATGGATTACAATTGCAACTGGCGATTTGGTGAGATGTCGGACATGTTTAAATTTTGGCTCACATTGGTTCAACATGACGCAACAGAACAGTTCAATCAGTTGGAAGGAAATACCGGCAGGGGCCTGACATTTTCTCTAGGCCCTCCCCTGTCCTTTTATCTAGCGAGTACCTGGAAGATCAAGAGTAAACCAGACGGAACTTTAAGCTGACCACTCACTTTCGTTTACTGCTGCGGTTAAGTACAGGTCCTACCTAGAACAAATTATTTAAGGACGTTATCAATAACTCAGATCATTTAGCGTCGAATAATAGGATGGATGAATTAGATCATTTTGAGAAAGAAACTGGCCGCGGCCTAATTTAAGATCCTATTCCGGAATTTTCCCGAAGGGACCTTCAAAAACCACAAAAACCCCGAATCAAGATCACCGGAACCTGGGCTTAGGTTTGAATCTGAGATCTACCAAATACGAAGCAAGAGTACTAACCAATCGACCACTACGTTTCATCTTGCGTCATCAAGGTTTCGTGCTATGCAACGAAAATGTAACCCCGGTTTTACATATTTTTCAATATGTTTAATATTTAACAAAATTATAGTAAAATAATGTGTTAAATGTAGTGCGAGTAGCTATGAAACAACAGATTTGTATCATCATTTGTATCGTCTAGGTCAATGACGTGCGGGAAATAGAAAGTCCACTTGTACAATACGTCTACTCCAACGAAGGCTACCTTCTCAAAGTAGTACCTACTGTAATGATGCAGTTTTCTTTGAGCAAAAAGCCACCTGCAGTACAGAGAGTTTCAAATGATATACATTGTAAGAAGTGAAATGTTTTTATAAGAAACTGCATCATGCACTTACATGAAACACAATATAATTTATAAAGGTTACTTTTATATTATAAAGACACAGTGTGTGGTCTGCTGCGGCAATGCATCAAGAAGGACAAGAGTTCGACGATCTCCAGAGGCACCACGAGTAAAATACTGTGTGACCAACTTCAAGTTACTAAACCATTTATTGTTCGCATCTCTACTTGTACTCGTAACAGACAGCTACATACATTACAGCCTTATACAAAGCTAAACAGAAACCAGATTATACACAAGACGTTAAAGTTTTTATGGAGTTGCTAGATATCAGTCAGAGACAAGCGTAACACGAAAATTCAACAAGAATAAATAATTAGAATTAAAGTAATATAATTAAAACGGAGACAAAATTTATTGACACTTCACAATTATCGTATCGAATTAATAACTTGTCAGCTTGTAACCTGACTTAGTGACGCGATCGCTACCAATTCTTGTTTAAGTGACGAAACTTCCGGGTTTTGCTTAGGTGTCTTAGCAATTCGCACTACAAACAGCCAGTTCTGTTGAGCTGCGATCCTTTGCCTGGGCTAATTAGACGCTGATAATAACAGCTTAGGCCGGACAAGACTGTTTTTCTTTATTTATGTCTTTTTAAACGATAAAGTTCAGGAGTAACTAGAGATACGCCTCAGTTGTGGCCTCAGTAACACAACTCAGCGATTTCTGAAATCCGTTGGCTAGTCAGTCCACCGCAATAGCCGCTGCACTTACCAGAATGCGTTTTTCCTCACATACCAAAGCTGCTGGGAAGCAACACTGCCAACTTCAAAGACGCAAATATTAATCTGACGATATTTGCCATCATTACGCTGAGGTGTATTTAACACGAGAATCACAATTTTTCTAATAATATGAAGGCTGTGTAATTATTGTTATGATTAATTCTGTTACAAGTATCAATTATTAACAAACGTAAAATAACACCAGAAACAAAAACTGTTCTGTCATTTTGCAAGGACTCGTATCATCACGAGGCAGCAATCTAGTAAAATAAGAAGTTAAGAGACAACTGATTCCGAGTTGCTGACTGGAGTGAAACGCATGTACATATTTACAGTGTGAGTTCAGTCTGTCAACTGTTTGTATGGTGTAACTACAGCAATGCTGTATCAACTGGAGAGATTACTTAGCATCAGGCAAGGGAGCATGACGGTGATGATAAATGAAGAATCGAGAGGATGTACCCGTCGCATACTGAATCATACTTCCCCACATTCACCAAGGTTAGTCATTTGTTTTCAACTTTATCGTTTGTCTGTTTGAGATGTCTTAAAAATCTTAAAACATTATTTGATAAACATGGCCGTACTCATTTTGACTGCTCAAAGTGTTTTCAAACTCCACAGTTAAATTTACACAGTACAATCAACTTAGAAATGATCCACCTATTTAGCAGAGCCTGAAGGTTCATTACCGAGTTCAGAAGAGCCTAAGAACACTCCCTATTCTAAGCCAGATCAATTTAGTCCACGCTCTCAGTCCCTATTTAAATATAATCCATTTAGTATAATTTTCCCATCCATACCAAGGCATCTTTCCTTCAGGCTTTCCAACCAATATTTTGTACGCATTTCTAATCTCCCTCATGCATGCTACATGCCCCATCCCTGTGTAAAGACAAAGGTTCGCCTACTCTGATGCTTCATTGAGCAATGAACGTCTGTTCTACGCAAAATAAAGGAAACCAGAAAAAAGAAATTCTTGATCAGAGGAGCAAAGATTCAAATCAAGAACTTCCCAACTACAAGACATACCACATCTGACAAGCCATTGCTGCAGTCACGCCTTTAGACACGCCCCACCCCCTGCTGCACCAGATATGTACACTGATGGAGACAAAGTGTGCTACATCACAAGCAGAAATGTGTGCAGCAGAATGAAGCGTTTGGGCCAGACGTTGCGAAACACCTCCTGATAAGAAAAGCGAGTCTTACGCACCTCAGCCTTCAGGTCAGCCACCTTGTCCTGCAGCTCGCGGACTTTCTCGCTGTCGTCCATGTTGCTCCGAAGCTCTCCCTCGGTCACCATCTCTTCATTCTGCGAACAGAGAAGTTCGACTCATAAATGGGGCATCGTCAACGAAGCGACAGCAGCGTTCGGATCACACGCCACGTACCTTCAGCTCTAACCGAGAGATCTTCTGCTTCAACTCGGCTACGTACTGGGAGTGCTCGGCATCCCTGATCCTGGCCATCATGAGGTTCTCCTTCATCTAGAAATGAGCATCAGTAACAAAGTATTTCCTGCTAATACGGAGAGCATATCGAGAAATAACACTCTTCAGAGCTCGTCTGCTACAAAATAGACAGAACCTATTTAAACAATATTTTTATAAGAAAAATGAAAAAGTGATTTTGCTGAAAACAAGTCTAAAGCTTTTGAAGACATACCTCATGCACTAGATATATATATAAACATGGGCAATATATTTTGTGGCATTTATTTGAGTGCTGTATTATGATTCTCACCTTGGACTCGAGGTCTGTATACCGGTGATTCTCCTCCCGCAGTTTTGTGACGTGCTCTCGTTCCCGATTCTCAGCCTTCTCCAGCTCCTCTCGGAGGTTTTTGTTCTCCTCGTCTTGCCGACGCAGTTGGTTTGTGCTCACCTGGACCTACAAGCATTATGTGTTGACTGGTTCCAACAGCTCAACTGCAGTGGTCATTTGTGAATATCAAACCAAAAGTTGAAAAATGATTTCGGTTTTTGCGGAGAGAGGGAGAAAGGACATGAGTACATGGCAAATATTCACAAGAAGAAAATGTATGAGGTGGTGTGCTTCAACACTTAGAAAAGACTAGTAGTCTATCCCATTAAGCCAACCACCCCACCATAAACAGGCCACCATGCACCCAAAGTCTTGAGGTTTACTTGACAATTCTGAATGGACTACAGCAGTTATATAACGCAATGAGTAATAAATACGGACAGAGAATTTGAAAAAAGCAGCTGTAACATACTTTAACTAACTGAAAATATCCACAAAACATTTATTTTGTGAAGCAGATAACCAGACCAAAATTGGGTATGGCTCGACTCTCTGACCCCCGAGTCAGTCGCAGAACAAGATTACTGACTGCCGCCAGTGCATTTTCGTACACTGCAGTCCATCCTCTCACCTGCGTTTCCAGCTCCATGACTTTGAGCCGCAGTTCCTTCACTTCCGTCAGGACCTCCATCTCTCTGATCCGCGTCGTCATCAGTTCTTCCTCGAGCCTCTGAGTTTCATTTCCGCGATTCTCCCAGAACAGCAGTTTCTTTGGCGTGCTGTCAGGTGGAGGGGTAGCCTCTACACGATGCTCCTGTACAGACCAGAACGTCAGTGAGGCTCACAAAAACAACTTCCAATCTAGACCACAAAAATAAATTACCTACAAAACAGTACAGCAAGCAGGCTCTGTGTGTGTGTGTGTGTGTGTAGAAACTCAGTTTGCTGCTGCAAATGGTACTTAGCAAATTTACATGCTTCCTGACCCTCCCTCTTCATCTAAGCCCCGCACAGTTACCTGAAGGTGGCGCTGCCACTGCTGGCTCAGCTCCCCGACTCGTTGTCGCAGATCCTTCAGCGAGAGATTTGCCTCTGCCTCACGTAATTTCACTGCTATTAGCTCCTCCTGGAGGTGAGCTACCGAGTTGTCTGGCGTTGATTCTCGCAGCGTCTTCTTGTCCTGAGCGAAAATTATTCCTTTCCATTCATATACTGATACCTGCACATCTAAAACTCACTCTAAATTCGAACCACAAAACAAATTATGGATCAATATCCACCTCAATCTTAATCTTTCCACTTACTTTACAGTCCTCCCACTGCCAGAATAGTACCTTAAATTATGCTATAACTGATTCCTTCCAATATCCTTTACAATTTATCAATCACTAATCATCCTGTCATCTGATGTCACATGGTATGACCTGCTGACGTCATTACATAAATCATAAATAAATAAATAAACACTCCCTTAATGAATTCTTCTCGGGCTACCAGCCACGTAAGGCGGTTCGATGGAGGGGGGAAAAAACACCAAAGTTTCAAGAACCATCTTTGTCCTCATCCTCAGGGTACTGAAGTTACTTACCTTACAAGGCTCGTAACCCGAGAAGAATTACGCTTTGTCGCTGTAAAAGCTTCAGGTCACGAAGCAGTGGACTGTTCATACCTCCTCGAGCTCCTGTATTCTTGCACGCAAGTCACGTATCAGTGCGTCGTTTTCAGCTTCACGCAGCCGCACCTTCACCAGTTCCTCCTGCAGGCATTCGATAAGCTCCTCCTTTTGGCTCAGCTGTTCCCGCTTCATACTGATCTCCTCTAGGGACGACTGTCTTGAAGTGTGCTGAATTGTACAACATGCGAAGCTGCCTTTGATTTTTATATGTCAAAGAAAATAATGAATGGCTCCAAACAGAACATTTTAACGCAAGACAAATTCACATCCCACAAAGTAGGACAACTTTGACCTACCATCAGTGGATTATTATATTCTGCGCATGCAATAGCTTAGAACCAAGTCTTATGACGCAGAACTTTATTCATAAAATAAGAGTAGCATGATAAAGACCAGCCCACAGCAAAAAGCAAGGGTTACAACTCACAGTCTCCTCCATCAGAAGGGAAAGGTTCCGTATTTCCTCATGAGCTATTTCCAGCTGATGTGACGTCTCAAGATGAGTGTGCCGCAGGGCTGCCAACTCTCGCTGCACCACGAACGTCGTCTCTTCCTCTTCGGCTCTTGATACCTGTCCCCTCACCAGTCGGTCGGCTAATTCGCTTGATTCCGCCTCCAGCAGCTCCACACGCTGGCGGAGCAGTCGGTTCTCCGTCCGTAATCGCTGTGCAGACAAATCATTGACTCTTTTATAGACCTATAATTTAATTGCCGTGCCAAAATTATATAAGTTTTCTATGAAACTATACAAAGCTACGACCCGTGTTCATATTTGCCATGAGAACTACAAATCCTACTTTGGCTTGACTGCGTTTACAGTGCGGCTGAAACGCGCGGCCCAGCACAGGCAACGAGATCAGTACATTGCCCACGGAGAAAGCCTTTTGCTCTTCCTCACATAAACATACCCTGAGCTCCACCATTTCCTCCTGCTCCTTCGTCTTCATCACTGTATACTCCTTCTCGAGTTTCTTCATACGTTTAGGGTTGAACTTCATGTTGTATGCCAGCAGCATAAGTCCATCAGGATCCGACTCCGCACGGGGAGGCAGATCTTTCTGGAAGAACTACAACACACAATCCTTGTTTACATTTCTCCATCCAGCAATGGAAAGAGGCAGAATCCACATGGATCATGCCCTACCTTCAACATGCCCTCCATGTCAAGGCAAAGGAGATCTTCCTTGCCCAGTGTAAGAAGGGCCAGAGCCACCTTGAAGATGACCTCCATCCCTTCAGACAAGAACGCATCCATGATCCTACACGCGACAGGCAGCGGCAGTGCGGTCGTGAAGAGAGTGAGGAACCAGCTGGAGGCGTACATGCTGGTGTGAAAGCTCTGCGACTGGAAGTGGACGTGCAGGTCTGGAATCAGTTCCTGGTAGAGAAGATGCGCAATTCGTACTTTAGCTTCAGGACGAACAACACGACTCAACACATATTAAAGGGGACGTGATGTTGATGTAGTGCAAGTGAAGATTCTAAAGGATCAGATATATTCTAATTATACCACATGACCATATTTAAAATTTATCTGAATGACATAAAGTACATCTTGCATCAGTTTGGAATTATGTATCTGATGTTTAATGACGAGCTTTAAACTTTTCTAAGCTTTCGTTCAACCAATAATTAATCGCATATTTTCACGTTGCAACAGAGTAAGAAATGTGACAGTCTTGCTGGTGCCGAGGGAACGACGACCTGGCCGTACCTGAACCAGGTTCTCCAGTTGATACATGCAAAGCCCCAATTCTGCCATCGTTGGTTTAAACATGTCCCGCATCTTGTATTCCTGCATCAGCTTGACTAACACTGCAAACGCTTCTTCTTCTGGCATCTGAAATACAATATACGCTCCAATGGATATCCTTCGTGTTTAAGATTACATTAATAAAATAGTTATGAGCATAATACATTTAGGGGATGGTTGCAACTGTCCAGTTTAAAATCCTCTTTTTTCTTCCTGTCACATATCTAAAAGACTAAAGATTAAAAAAAATTAAAATCAAATTTTATATCTTTTTTTACATGGATATGATAATCAGTCACTCATCCTAAAGGACGGACAGATTAGTGGTGTCCAAGACGAACGCGTGAGCCAAAGACAGAGGAAAAGGAGAATGGAGAAAATTACATAATGAATAACTTCATATTTTGCATGTTTCAACCAAATATTATTAGGGTGATAATTTGACAAATCTGACAAATAAGTGCTGTTAAAACAAAAATATTAAAAAATTCTGCTCCTGTTTCTTCTAACCCCAAATCTAGTAGTTTTATTCTCATAAAATACAGTATAATTAATCTATACTAAAGGTCATCATGTAAATTGAATGTTCAGCCTTAATGTCATACAACACTGCACAGCTGCCACAAATGCGTTCATCCACAATGATGCATCTTGATTCTACCTTGCCTGCAGACGCAGATGCATCATAGCATGTACTGGGTACGCATATCATACACTTGTGGGCCAAGCACTCCTGCTTTACCTGCATGAGAAGGAGCCCCACGATGAAACCGGACCCCTGGCAGTAGCCCACCTCACGGTCGTGCAGTGAGTACGCCTTCATCACGTTGAACAGACTCTCCTGTCCCAGTCCATCCTTCTCCTTGAAGAAGTCGTGCTCCGGATATGTGCGTGCTATGTCCCGTCGGATCACCTTCTCGCATGCCGACGTCGCCTTGATGTAGTCAGCATACTGCTTCTTGACGGGGGAGTCATGAGCGCAGCACAGCAGCTGCCACACGATGCCTCGGAAGTGATGCGGCACTCCCTTCCGAACCAGTTCCTGAACAAAGACCAACGGCGATCAGCTTTGCGCAGGCCGCGAAGAGACTGAATGCACATAAGCCTAGAGGCTGTCCACCACCTTGGCATGCAAGTTCACTTGGCCGTCCTTTTGCAGAACTTAGGGAAGAGGTTACATGTTAGTGTCCAAATACACATGGCAAGCACTGTAACACTAATTCCAATATTGTAAACCCTACCCTAAGCAAAATCAGCACAGAACACAGCTCTGTTATGCACGTCCTCAAACTGTGGCCCAGTTTCATAATATCAATTATCAGACTCAAATACGAGCCGGGCAGCTCGGTCAACGCAGCGATAACTATAGGCTGGGAAGTGAGGCTTTAATTCTGAACAGGGGAAAAAATTTCCACTGCCAAACTATTTGATGGTGTCTTACTCTAACGAAGGAGTTGCGTTTCTTCCAGAAGTTGTCCCAGTCATTAGACACTCTGCCCCACAGGGTCCAGTTGTCTTCCTCCCCATCCTCAGTGCGTTCTTGACTGGAGCTAGTACCTGAGAACACAAGACAAAGCACAGTGAGACGGCGTAGACGCATGTCAATGTAATTTCAATTTATCATCATACAACTGCTTACCTGAGGTTAATGATATCTGGGATGTATCTGAACTCTTCCGGGAATGGCCACTGTTCCCAGAAAGGGAATTCAATGATTTGGCATCGGCTTCAATAAGCCTGAAATCACAAATCGTTCAAACCCAATGAAATCTCTGCAGTACCTGAACTGGACAAACCTACAACTGATAGCGACACAATTGCCTATACTTAAAGTTTTCTATGGGGTACTTAACCTGCATGACCTGGGATAATAGTTCAAGAATGGTCTAAGAGCCAACAATGATATGAGATTATAAGAGTGCAACAACTTTTGTGACATGGGATGAAGAACACTTTTGGAATGTCCACACACTCCAAACAGGTTGCCTTTTCAACCGCATTCACCTAACACTCATCAGACAGCTGTTATCCCAATAAAGGAAGTTGTCTCACCTGTTGGCCTCTTCTAACTTAGCAAGCAGCGCCAGGTCGCTGGGTGAAGGATCGTTATTGTTCACGTGAAAGCTGCTGTTGTTATTGTTGTTGTTGTTGTTGTTGGCTGATACAGTTCCTAGCAAGGATTCGCTGCCGGAGTGTGCTACCATGACGGAACTCATGGCCAGCCCAGCAGTGCACCCACCACCTTGCCCGTGCGTCGCGAGTCGGGCAGCGGGGTTGTTGAGACGGCCATCACCCCCGAACACCACGTGGCTTCTGACAGAGAGACGCAGTGTTAGAGCAGATTAAGTTTTCAGAATGAAAGAATCCGCAGATATGGATATTTCATGGCACTACATGTGCTGCAGACTATTCCAAGCGCACTCCGACCAAACCAATTTTTACAGTTCCTTCCTTATTTCATACAGAATGCGGGGCTTCCGTTATTTGAGTTGGATCCTCAAAAATATTTTTAGAATCAACTGATTTGTATAAAACTTGGCAAGGATGTCGTGCAATGTGACTCTTCCATAAAAATAAAAAATTTCATCAAATCATATCCTGACTTGAGACACCACAGTCTTGTAGGTCAATGCCAATGCCTTCAAAGAACACGTCACCTGAAACGTTGCCAATCACCTACAAGATTGTATGATGTCACATGATACACATTTCCATTGCCAAACTGCCTCAGAATGGAATCACATTGACCAGAAGTGTTTTGACATTTACACAATTTTTCACCCAAACCACGTGACTAATCTCGACACAGAATGCGTTCACTGTCGGACTGTAAAATAATTTAATAGCAACCACAATATATTTTGAAGTGTATTTACGTGTTTTTATTCTTTGCACTCAGTGCGCAGAAGGAAGTAAGAAAGGCAGGAATAAAGAAGTGGGGATAGAACGGGATAGGGGAGAACAGAAAAACCAACAGGGGTGGAGTTACAGGACAGATTTCTATCAAACGATTCCTACGCATACAGAAGACGGTCCATTAACTAAAGCAAGGGAACAACAGAGTCCTTCCTGCAAAGTAAAGACACTCGACTAGTAAACATTTATCAATTCTTACAGAACGTAAACGTTCATTGCAATTTTCAGATAAGCCTGCCATTAGTTCCTATTCTGAGCTACAAATCCAATTTCTCTGAGATAAATTTCAATATTCCCCATTCCACCTATGCCTAGGTCTTCCAAGTGATCCCTTTCCTCCAGGTTTTGCAAGCAAAATTTTTGTACGCATTTCTAATGTGCCAACTCAAACTACATGTCGTTGATTTGATCATCCAAATATTATTTTTAATTAATGAACAAACTCATTATGCAACTTTCTCCACCCTCCTGTAACTTCAATACAGCACCTCTCAGATCCCTGAACCGAACGGGTTAAATTCAATGACGCTCAGAATTGGCGTTCATTCGAAAGGCGGCCAGAGACCAACCCAGACAGACCATCGAGGGCGTCCGGCTACAACCCTCGCACCGTATATCGATCGCGGTCGTCTTCGTGCGTCATGAAACGTCTTCCAACTGATTCAGCGTCGTCAAATAACACAAGAATCAATCACGTGGTGCGGGGTGCGACCCCCAGACACGGTCCCGGACAGTCTGATGCACGATCAATACGTGGCAAACAGCCATTGGCTCGTGATCCAATGTGGGCGTGGCACTGTGAAAAAAAACAAGGGAAGAGCAATTTGACAGCCCGGAAATAAATTAGTAACACGTGGCTTAACACTGTTATGGCAGGTGGGATCACGCGTGGCTAGGCGAAACGTCTGTCGTTCACACACCGTGGGGCGAAGTAACGGTATTCAGTTCACACTGGAGGGGGTGCTGACACCCAGAACTCACCTCTTCTTGGGGCGCCCGCGCTGCCAGCGACACGGTACCAGCTTCTGAAGCACCATGCCGGACCTTGGTCGTGACACTCACTCCGAAACAAAACCCCTTCTCTGCACTAACGCCATCTGAGCGAACGCGTCGAAACTACTCGCCCAAAAGAACTCGTGGCTTCAGTGATTTCAAAACAAAAGGCTAAACAATGCACGTGTCGTAATTACAAAAATATGTTCCTGAGTTCGACGCTCTCATCCGTACACTGACTGGATCCACACTGGTGACTGCAGACCCGCGTTCTGACACTAATTGCAGCTCAAATTAGTCTCGCGGTCTCACTAGCAGATTCCACGTAGCGGTTTGACGCGCGTGGCTGCCCGGCCGTCAATTCTACACATACGAAAGGCGTATGGGAGACGTGGAGGTAAAGGCCGTATTCTCAAGATCGGCAATCCACTGCCAGTTTCAGGCTGCTACCACTTTTACCCCCCGGCTCAAGATATTACGACAGATGCGCAACTGTTAGTTTGCGAAAGCTGTCGTCGTTTACAGACCAGGATCAACGGGACTGAAAATGGTCAGATGTTACAGTCACGACGGAATAGAAATCCGCTCAAACCCCCCC